TCCTCCTCCTCCTCCTCCTTCTCCTCCTCCTCCTCCTCCTCCTCCTCCTCCTCCTTCCCGTCCCCTTCGGCCGCGCCCGAGGACGATGCGGCGGTCAACGTGAACCTGTGGCTCACGCCGGACGCGGCCCGCCGCTCCGGGGGCGGGCTGGAGGTCTTCCGGGCTGTGCCTCTGCGCGGAGCCGCGGCGCAGGAGTTCAACCAGGCCTCGAGGGAAGGGACCGCTATCGCTGGCCGCGGCCCGCTCGAAAAGCCTCGAGATGGCCCTCCAAGGCCCGTGCATCCTTGTCGCGCGTCCTCAGCATACGAGTTGACTGCAACAGTTTTTGTTTGCGTCGCAGCACGGCAGAGACCCTCCGCACGGGCGCTCGAGTTGCCAGGGGCACTCGGCAAACGAACGGTCCAGTAGCAATAAGAGGGGCGCGCGAGGGGGAGGAGCGGCCGCGGAGGGCAGGGCGGAGGAGGGCGGAGGCCCCCACGGCCGCGTGCACTCCCACAGGAGCGCGCGCCCAGGCGGCCAGCCAGGGCCGAAGATGTCAGGGGCCACGATAGGGGGGGATAGGCACAAGAGAGGGGACGCATCGACCCCCAATCGCCCATTGATCGCCGAGGGAGGAGGAGGAGGAGGAGCAGGAGGAGGAGGAGGAGGAGGAGGAGGAGGAGGAGGAGGGGGAGGAGGAGGAGGAGGAGGAGGAGGAGGAGGAGGAGGAGGAGGAGGAGGAGGAGGAGGACCCAGGAAGGGACGGATGCGCCATCGGAGGCCTATCAGGCGATCTATCGGCGATGCAGCGCCGACTCCAGGTCGATGCGCCCCCCTCTCTATGCCAGCCCCCGCCCGTCGCTGCCCCTCGAGATGTCGTGGGGCGTCGTCGAGTCAGATCTCGATCATGGTCCATGCACTGACCGCTGCCGCGTCGCGAGGAGGATCCACGGAATGGCGATGACCACGATGGAGAGCGACCAAGATCGACGCCGACGTCTGCGCGTTCCGTCCCCAGACCCCCGACGTCCTGATTTGTTCACCACGTCGGCCCTCAAGAGGTCTGGACCTTCTCCCCGGGACCGGCCTGTCATCCTGCGTCGCGAGGCCGCACACAGCAAAATCTTCCGGTCCTGATATTCTTTCACAGAGAGAGGGGATCGAGGGAGAGCGACCAAGGTCGACGCCCACGTCCGTGCGTTCCGTCTTGGCCGCGGCCCTCGCTCCCCTTGCCCTCCGAGGTCGCGCCCTCGGGGCCTCAAGAGGTCTGGACCTCCCCGGGACGGGCTTGTCATCCTGAGTCGCGAGGCCGAACACAGCAAAAAACGGCCATCGCTCCCTTGCCCTCCAAGGTCGCGCCCTCGGGGCGCGAGGCGGCGCCGACCCGCGCGGCGCTGGCGGCCGGAGGGCGGGACCTCGTGGCGTACCGGCAGAACCGCGCCGTGCTCTTCGTCTCGGACCGCTTCCACGCCACGGAGCCCTTCTCGGAGGGGGGCCGGCCCCAGGCGGCCTCGAGCCGTGAAGGGCCCTGTAAAACGACGCGCAGATCGGGACAAAATCGGATCGGGATAACTCGAAGTCTCTGCGAATCGGCGGGTTTGGAGGATGTATTGGGCGCCGCGGCCGCTCCAGAGCGTTCCGGAACGCTCTGAGAGCGCTCTGGAACGCTCTGGATCGATTTATCCCGATCCTAGCCCTGTTCCACCCTGAGATCCCGGCGCTGCAGTTCATTCTTTCCACCACGGGCGTCTTCGCGCCGCCTCGGGCACCGAGGCCCTCTCAGATCGATGCGGCTGGAGAGATGGCGCAGGATGACGGGGTCCAGGGCTCCGGTCGTGACTTTTTTGCGATGCTTCATTTTTGTCCGCAACGTCGGAGCACAGGGAAGTCACGACGGAAGGTTGGGCGCTTCTTTCCGGCCTCTGGGAGCCCTTGCCAGTCCTCGGGGCCGTCAGGAAACAATGCAGGATTAAAGCCTGGTCCCCAGGAAGGGGACAATACCTATGGTTGCCCACGTCGTGAAAAGACCTGACGTCGGGGGGTTGGGGAGAAGAGAACTGAGGAGGGGAACAACAAAAAACACACACACGGACAGAAGTCATCGCCAATTCCCAGGATAGCATGGAAGAGCATGGGTTGTTGAGGGGAACGCGAGCATCCTGGAAATAAGGAAGGCCGGGGGAATCCTGGGAATTCTGTCTGTGTGTCCCTGGGCCCTCTTGCGGACGGCGGCTCGCCCGGCCCGCCCGGCTCCAGGGAGCTCGAACGCCGTCCGCGGCTCCGGCCCCTCCTGGAGTCTCTCCTGACCCGCCTGTCGGCCACGCGCAGGGGGGGGGAGGGCGAGGGGAGAAGGATCATGACAGAGTGGGGGCGAGAGGTTTTCGGCTGCCTTCGGCCTCCATGGGGGCTCTCGCTGGGCCCCAGGACCGTCACAGAACGGCTCAGGAGGAAAAGCCGGCCCCAGGGAATTAGGGGAACAAAAAGTGGCATAACCATAACAACTCGGAGGTCCGCGCGGATTTCTCGGATCGGCGCTGGACCCCCATCCCGCGCGCCATGGGCGGCGCCGGAGGCGCCGCCGGGGGGCCCCCAGCGCCGATCCGAGACATCCGCGTGGACCTCCGAGTTGCTTTTGTTTATGCCACTTTTTGTTCCCTTAGGAATGGGTCGGCGCTGCCAGGGATGGCGCATTGGAAAAATCAGCATGTGGCAGGTCTGGATGGGGGGAGGGGGGAAGGCTTCTCAAAAGCACCCCTGCTTTTCTTAGGAGGCGCGGGCCTTGTGTAGCGATATAGGGCCAGCGCCTGCGAAGAGGCAGCCTCCTTCCAAGAAGCCTGGGCGGCGCCTTCTAAGAGGTAGCCTCCATCCCAGAAGCGCTCACCCCCCACACTTACTTCGGGCACGTCCCTCTACAGGAGGAATATCCCACAACAGTGAAGCATTGTCTGGTCACGATGTGTCGTGCTCTTTTGGCTGTCTCTGATTTTGCTGACTGTGGCTGATCTTTCCTCCCATGTAAATCCGCCTGTAGGAGGACATTCAGGCGGACGAACAACATTAGTCGTCGACTCCTGGGAAGATATGGGAAAATATGGGAAGGGGGGGAAGACGGAAGTCCAGAAAATATGGAAACAATGGATTTGTGTACTTCTTTGCGTGCCCTTGGGGCCCTTGAGACATGTGCGCGCGCGGGCCGCCGCATTGGGCCTTGGGCCCAATTCGGCCCTTATTGGGAATTGGGCCCCTTGCGTGTCCTTGGGGATCGGGCCAACTGCGCCCGCCGAATTGGGAATTTGGGCCCTCTGCGTGTCCTTGGGCCCCTTATTTTGTGTATTTCTTTGCCAGTGCGCGCGCCGCCGATCCTGCGCGGGCGGATCCAGCCGCCTGGCGGCGAGAAGCTCCCCCGCGGCGCCCGCGCGGGACGACGCACCGTGGCCCGGGCCAGGGCCTCGGCCGGCCCTCCTCGGAGCCTCGACTTCCCCGACGCCGAGGCGCCCCGCGCGAACCTGACGCTGCTCTTCTCGGCGGCGAGCGAGGGGGGTCGAGCGGTGGCGGAGCGTCCTGGCTCGCCCAGAGGCCCACCAAGCAGTGTTCTGAGAACCTTTTTTTCGGTGTCCACGGGGTGCTCTCAGACCATTTCTGGCGGAGTCTGGCTCAGGTTGTAGGTTCTAAGAACACTGCTTTTTTCCTCAGAGCATTTTTGGGGTTCTGGAACATGTCGTGGTAGGACTTCAGGAATGCCAGGACGGCCGGTCCCTGCTCAAGAAGGGGGAGCGTGAGAAGGACCCAGACCCACTCGCGTCGTGAAGAACCAAAATCACGGCGGGAGACTTTTCGCCATTGTCTCGGCCTCCAGTGGCCCTTCCCGGGCCTCGGGGCCGTCCAAAAATCGGGGGCGGAAAAGAGGGGGGCGATGACAAGGGGGGGGGGGATTTCCTGGCGGGGGCCATGATCTTTCCCCAGATCTCACGGCGCCTCTGCTTATTCCATTGCGTCCCTGCCCCCCCCGCTGGGCCGCGCACCTGCCGCCGGTCATGATTTGCCCGGACCCCCCTCTTGGACACCCCCCTCGTGGCCGCTCCCGAAAAAAAAAACGGCTCAGGATGCAAAGCGCAAGTCCCGGGGAAGGGGCCGAGACCTTTGCGGGGTCGACGCTGTTAGAAAAGTCACGACGTCGGGTGTCGGAAGAGAAAAGGCCATGCTCAGAAGGCGGCGGGGCCTCTCTCCGAAGGCCTCCAGCCTTCTCAGAGGTCTTATTGTTGCACCTTCGGGGAAGGCCCAGAAACCTTCTCAGAGAAGACCCGGGGGACTTCCGAGCCTTCTGAGAGGGCCGGCCCCTTCTCGCTTCCCCCTCGCGCGCCGCCGATCTTCGGCGACCGCGCCGATTGTCGGCGCCTTCGCCGGGGAGGCCAGCGGGCGCCTAGCCGAGCGATGCGCAGCGGGCCGCAAACCGCGAGAGCGCGCGCGGAGCCAATGGCAGGGGTCGGCGCGGAAACCGTCTTTCTCACGAGGCCTCCAAGACGGGGCCGGAGCAGATTGAGTCGGGCATGTCCCTCTACAGGAGGAATCTTCCAACCTAGTTGAAAAATAGTCAGGGGACGATTCTTCGACGATGTTCGGCAATTTCAGGACATGCTGGGGGTATTGTTTTGTTCTTCGCCTACTAAAATCCGCCTGTAAGAGGACATGCCCGACCTACGTGTAGACAAAGTCGGGCATGTCCCTCTACAGGAGGAATATTCAAACCTAGCAAAAACATAGACTGGGGACGATGGTTCGACGATTCTTTACAATTTTAGAGCATGTTTGGGGTACTGTATTATTCTTCGTCTAAAGAGTCCGCCGGTCGGATTAAGTCGGGCCTGTACCCTTACAGGAGGAATGTCCATTCAAAAATATGCAGAACAGATAGGGGACGATGTTGTTTGGCAGTCTTCTGATATTGTTGGGGTATTTTTTGAACACTTTCGGTGGCTCGTCCAAAATCTCCCTGTCGGGGGACACGCCCGACCCAAGGGTAGGACGACACGCCCGACCTAAGAGTGCAGATGGGGTCGGGGGGCCCAGACCCCCTCGCGCGGTGGCAAACACTCCCGGCGGGGTGTGCTTGCCAGTTTTAAGTCGGGCCTGTCCCTCTGCAGGAGGAAGTTTCTCGACTGCACGTAAGAGTGACCCTTCGCCGGAGTGACCTTTGGTGTGCGCTCACTGGGGTCCTCCGATCGCCGCGCTCGGTGCGATAGTCGCGTCTTGCGCGCTTGTGTGTGGCCTCCTCGCGCCCCCCAAAGAGCCGCGCACCAAAGGTTTCTCTTGCCCAGGGTCACTCTTACGTGCAGCCGAGATTCAAAAATAGTCAAACAAATAAGATTGGGACGACTTTTTTCAATATTTGCCCATTTGGTCTCCAGGGGCCCTTAGCTGGCCTCGGGGCACCGCCAAAAAACGATTCAGAAAGAAGACCCGGTCCCGGGGAAAAGGTCCAGAACTCTGGGGGTCGACGATGTGACAAAGATCACGACGTCGGGGGTCTGTAGATCTCGGCGATGCGGCTCAGTGTGGATCCTGATTTTCTCCACGCCGGCGTCGCCGAGACGTCGCCGATGCATCGGTGATGCATCGAGAATGCGGAGCGATCCTCCGACCCCATCGAATTACTTAACCCCCATCTGAGGGGCGTCTTATCTTAAAGAAGAGGAGCAATCTAACCGTGACTGTCGGAGCTTCTCGCGGATTGCTCGCAGCGGCGCTAGGGCTCCCCCCAGCGGCCACTCCAGCGCCGTCCCTGGCGCGCTCCGTGTCCAGCGCGGATCCTAGACATCCGCACTGGAGTTCTTTGCGGATCGAAATTCGAAGGTTTGGGCTTTCGGGGGGCCCCCCTGGAGGCCGTCACGGCGATGCGCTCAGCCCGGGAAAAAATAAACTTCAGCAGAATGGACTCCGGTAGAGGTCTCAGGACCGATGCTCGAGCGGATTTGTTGGTCGGGGGGAGGCTCGACCCCAGGATCCTGTTCTGAGCACGCTCGGCGTCTGAGCCCGTTCGGCCGCGGAGCCGATCTTCCAGCGGATCTCGTTCGGAGAGGGGGCTCGTCCCGGATGTTCTTGGCGGGGCCCGTTCACCCTCGGGAGCCTCGAGACGAGGGTCAGTGCAAACGGGGGTCAGCCAGGGCACCGGATCCTGCAGGATCCTGCGAAGACCCCCTCTGGCTGACCCGGGTTAGCGAGCCGCTCGTGGCCGCGAGGCGGCCGCGCATATTGGCTGACCCGGGTTTGCGAAGACCTGCGTTGCAGTTTTTTTTTCCTGCATTGCAGTTTTTGGTTTCCTGCTGACCCGGGTCTGGATTGACCCGGGTCAGAAGATTCCCGACACCCGCGGAGCGGGCTCGAGGTCGAGCCCGTGCCGCGGCCGAGCGGGCTCGATTCCCGCGGCCCTGTCGGAACGGAGCATGCTCGGCGGCCCATTCGGCGGTGGGAGGCCGGACGGGCTCGGGCGCCGAGCGGGCTCGGGGAGGAGTCCTGGGGTGGCCG